AAAGAGGAATATCAAAAGACACATTACATTAATTAACACAAGAACCTAAACATCACAAGCATTAAACCTATTAATGCATTGCACGAAAAAACATCCCAAGCCATGGAACCGAAGAGGTAGCCGCAGTAGCCAAGGAGGCTGCACGGGAGCCAAGGGGGCACGACCACGGAAGGGAGCACGGGCACGGGAAACCAGCAGACGGCCGGATTCCAAGGGGAAAAAGCACATAAAAAAATAAAAACCTTGGTGGAAACCAAGGGGTCATACATGGGAATACTAAACACCTTTATTGGGATTCCAAAAGCCCTTTTTGGAACCCCAAGAGACATCATAAAAGAAGACTTTAAAGACAATAATAAAAGTGCATTAAAATCAAAGATAAATATGAGCTAAAATCATAGCTAATAATAAGCTAATCCCTAGTTCAATAAATGAACTAAAGACTAGCTCATAAATGAGATAAAATTCTAGCTCAATTTTTGTTGAGCTAGTAGACTCAAGGGAAGCCAAAAAACATATTATTTTTGACATGTGTTGACCCCTCCTTTGTCTACATCAATCAGCGTGGAGTTACAATGCGCACTTGATCGTGAAGGCTAGATAAGGATCGATGAATTAGAAGCCTTCAACCCAAGAGAAGTAGAAAGTCATGAAGGGAGCTCGCCATCAACTGTCACCTTTCTGCTCTTACCCATCTTCCTGAAACCTCGTCAACAAAGTTTCGAGTAAACCATGTTGCATGCTTGCAAAAGGAGAGTTGATGGGACTAGCTATGAATAGAAGAGAGGAGTTTGTGAAACTTGAGAGGATTTAAGTTAAATTTGCCCATTGCCAAAATCTAATCAAGGTAAAACAAGGGAGTAAAGAGATTTAAGATTCTGTAGAGATTTGAACTTTTTTTTTGTTAGGCATAATTTGAATTAAACACTGTTGAGATTGTTACAACTTAGTTTTTCGATTATTGATATTCTTGCAACATGCATATTTTTGATGATTTCAAATATTCTTATTTTAATTACAATTTATCCTAACATATTTTGGATGTATTGTTTTTGTTGTTTGTGTGTACTAACATTTCAAGGTAATTATACTCCAAATTGTTGAAGACTTTAAATCAGATCAGTTTAGGATTTATTGTAAATGAAGTATGTATTTTTCTTTTTATTGACTCTGAGAGACTGTGATTGTAATTGAGTATTTGTGCATACACACACCGGGGAGTGTTTAAAAGTTAAAATTTTTGAACTGATCGTACTGTACGAAAGCATTTCATACGGGACGATTTGATTAGTTATTTTTCCCTGCGTGTAATTAAACGAATAGAAAGTAAATTTTTTTCTGAATATGGATCGTACTGTACGATGTCATCATCTACGTACGCCATCCAGTGTACAAATTGGACGGGTCCCTTTTTGTCCAGAAGAACTTGAAAATTTTCTGACTGGTTCGTATTGTACGATGTTGTTAACGTATGTACACCATCTACAAGTTGGACGGGTACCTTTTCGTGCAAACGAACTTGAAAAATTTATGAACAATTCGTACTATACGATGTCGTCATCGTACGTACGCGTCCAGTGTACGAGTTGGACGGGTCCCTTTTCTTCCAGACGAACTTGAAAATTTTCTGAACGGTTCGTATTGTACGATGTCGTCATCGTACGTACGCCGTCCAGTGTACGAGTCCCTTTCCGTCCCGATGAACTTGAAAAATTTATGAACTGATCGTACCATACGATGTCATCATCGTACGTATGCCATCAAGGGTACGAAATTGTGGGGCCCCTTTTCGTCTCGACAAAGATGAAAATTTTTCTAAACTGTTCGTACATTAAGAATTTGGATCATACTATATGATCATCGTGTACGAAGGCATTCGTACAGATTCTGATGCAGGACTATGTATGCAATGCTATTAGTTCAATAGGATTTTGCATAACTCGAGATTAGAATAATCTTAGAACAAAACTACTAGCAATTTAAAATAATGAATCAAAACAAATAGGGGTCACATGACAAGAGTTTTGAAACTTTTCAAAATAAATAGAAAAACAATACAATGACAAGTAGTAGTTTTTAAAGAAATCTTTAATCTAACAACAAGAATTAAAAAACATAAAGGTGCACTCAAACCCTACGTTTACTAAGCTTTAGCATGAGCAATGAAGAGGGGTCCGTCGTGACTGCAATCAAGCCAAGAGAAGTTAAACTAAAAGAGATTGATGC